AGTACGAGGTTGACTCTGTGGTTGCACATCGTCGTCGTCGGCATGGCACCCTGGAGTTTCTCATACGCTGGAAAGGCTATGATCCTTCTGAGGACAGCTGGGTCTCTCAAGAAGACATGAGTAACGCCCGACGTTCTCTCCGCGACTAACTTGTCAAGTAGGGTGTTACATCTACCACCCAGCTTTGAGGGGGGGAAGGGAAGTGTGAGAGTACGCCGACGTTCGACATATTTCTCATTTCCATATTTTTACTCCATCTTATTCTCCTTATTTTCCTCTCTCATTTGCACTTTATTTCACCTCAATCGGACTACTATTCTATTTTCTAGAGCTTTCCGATTATTTCACTTATTTGGTATTTTCGGCACCGACATTTACATTATACGGCACCGACAGCACCGACAGAGGTGTACAAGGCGTAATCTTGCCATAATCCAATGTGCCAATGGGCTTGCGTGCTTATGCGCACTTGTGATTATCTATTCTAGAAGAGCGTGTTCCCGAAGGTTCGGATTATCTGTTGTTTCTGTGTATTTTTTAGTATAAATACGCCTTGTTCTCACCTTTAGTGCAACATTCTCGAGTTCAATCCTATGACACTCTACTACTGCTGCTGCACGTCCTCGCGCTGCTGCTGCCGGACGCCCTCGCGCTGCTGCTGTTGCTGTGACCACTGTTGTTCCGCGAAGAGTTGGTTTTTCTTGGGCTTCTAACAATGCAATGCGGGAGGCCAAGAAGTATCCAACCGATAAGGACCTAGATCCTGTTGTGGAGAGCGCTCTGAGTAGAGGAGAGCCGGGTTTGGTGAAAGGCATGTTCGGGGCGCTGAAGAACGATGCCCGGCGATGCCTTACGTGCAATACAGAGATTGGGTGGCGCCTAGGAAACACGACTTCGGGGGCTCGGCATTTGAAGAGGGCGCACTATCCTAGCCTTCAGATTTGGATCCGTCGCTTTCTGGCCCCAAACAAGTTCGATGGGCTTGTTTTCCCAAATGGGGGTTGGGGACGTACGGTACCTGATAAGACTAAGTGGCCTTGGGAGCACGCAGACACATGGCCTAACATTCCAGCAGCCGATGCGAGGACCAGGCCGAGTGGGTTGACCAGAGGAGCCGCCAATTGGGGGGGTAGGCAGGGCACCATCGATGCATATGTCACGGCTCGGATTGGAGAGCGGCAGCTGCGCGAGGCCCTGGTGATGTTGTTTGCCGGCCTCGACATGTCTTTCCGATCTGTCGACGGGCCCGCGGTAAGATATGTGCGCGGTCTCTTCTGTACACACGCACGATCGGGAATACATTGACAAACTGTGCTTAATGTCCTGTCACTAATCTCTTCTTCCACTCCCAACAATGTCTGTGACCCTCCAAATGGCAGTTTCGAGACTTCGTCACCTTGCTGAACCCCGACGCGGCACAGCATCTCAACACACGTTTCCGCCTTGCTCGGCACAGCTGTTGACAGGCGACGGTTTGGCGGGGCGGGTGACACTCACCACGGACATATGGACTAGTGAGAACAACGTCGCCTTCATGGTGGTGACTGCTCACCGTGTCACCTCGGACTTCAAGCTGCAGTAGATGGTGATCGACTTCAGGCCGCTGGAGGGCCGTCACGCGGGGGACAAGATAGCCGATGAGCTGGAGCAGGTCATAGGGGAGTGGGCATTGGGTGGTGGTGAGTTCTTCGGCGTGACCACGAACAACGTCGAGAACAACAACCGGGCGGTTCGTCTACTGGCCGGCGTCTCTGACCACACACCCGGGTCACGTCCGCGTGACCCCCCCGTGATGTCCCTGCCTCGGCACTTCAAGTAAGTGCCGTCCTCTATTGCTATGAGTGTCTGTAGCATAGCGTGCAATGCCAAGTACCCCAGTGATCCTATACCACATTGGATCATACCCCTCTCTGCATGACATTGCTTGCCCTCTAGGTGCGTGGCCCATGTCCTGAACCTCGCACTGCAGTACGCAATGGAGGTTGAGCCGGTTGCCCAAGCGCTCCGCAGGCTGCGAGCTGTGGCTAGCCACATTGGGTGGTCGGTGTAGCGGTCGGAGCGTTTTTTTTACATCCAGAGACAGTATGCTGCGACCCGTGCGGCGACACAGGCAGAGAGGGACACCGAAGAGGGGGGGGAAAGGCACGCAGAGGGGGGCACTGCAGAGGGGGGGAGCGAGGCAGGCAGAGGAGGGTAGCAGTGCGCGGAAGGTACCTGCTGATTTGCGCCTGATCGTTGACTCAGATACGGGCTGGGGTTCCACGCTGGAGATGGTGGTGAGGGGGTGTGATCTGCACTGCGCATTCCTCTCACGATGTACTTCGATGAGTCCACCGTACGTATGGGGTTACTGTTAGTGTTAGCCTTCAATCTCACACTTTGTACTTTGTATTTTCTATATCCTAGAGTAGTGTAGTTTGCACATTGTGTTTGGTTGGGTGTACACCTACATCCCAACCAAACCCAAATGTAATCTCCAAGCAATCTCCAACCCACCAATTGGAGATTACCTTGGGATTACCCCCAATCCCTAGGGATTGCCCCCGATTCCCTTCCCCATCCATTCCCTCCCCTTCTTGGATGTACTTAAAGAGCTTCAAGCTCATTACTAATGCATCCCTTCTAAGCCTAAGTTCTTTCATGGTATCAGAGCTCTACATCCGCACATGCGGATCGTGATCCTCCTATCTATGCGGATGTTCTTCCCGCAAACCTCGGCGTAGCCTCCGTCAATCTCGTCGCCGTCGATTCGCGACATTCGTGGGCGGAAATTCCCCCGCACCACTTTCCCGTCAACTTCGACGACGTCCTCAATTTCTATGGTACACTCATCGACGTCGCTCTAACGTATCGTTCATCTTCTCGCCATCCCTCAATTTCGTCGTCGCGTCACCTCTTCTCGTCGGGCCGCCGCCCGTCGCCCCGCAGCTTCTCGTCGGGCCGCCGCCTGTCGCCCCGCAACTTCTCGTCGGGCCGCCGCCCGTCGCCCTGCAGCTTCACCTTCGGGCTGCCGCCCGTCGCTCCGCATCTGCACTCCTACCCCCATCCCCCCCCCCACCTTTCCCGCAGCTGAACAGGTGCAGCAGCGCAGCCGAGCAGCAGCGTAGCCGCGAAGCCGAGCAGCCGTGTAGCCGCGAAGCCGAGCAGCAGCGTAGCCGCGAAGCTGAGGGTGGTGTGTGGGAATAGGATTAGTAGGTAGTTGACACTAAATTGGCGTCTCAGTCAAATTCTCTTTCGTAAACCCTAAACCTCCGGTTCTTCAAAATCTCCTTCGGAAACCCCAAACCATATCCATATCCCATATCCCATCCTATCATTATGTATTTCCCCCATGTCACCTCGCCCTCTACCGATTCCCTCTCCATCCCTTTCCTCTCTCCCCCTCTCAGCCTAACATCACCAAGGCCACATGCGAGGCATGGGCAGGAATCAGGCTGTCCGATGCTCACTGGTCATCCCTCAGCGAGCTGCGTGCTTTCCTCGAGCCGTTTGACCACATCAGCCTGTTCGTGGAGGGGTCTTTGTACCCCACCATGGGATCGGTTGTGCCGCAGCACAATATGCTCCTGGATATTCTTGATGAGAACTTGCATTCGCCAAACGTCTCGCAGCTGTGCAGGGACCTGTCCAGCCGGGCTTTGAGCAAGCTGGAGCGCCACATGGGGGGGGTAAGCGATGAGGCGGCGATTGCCACCTTCCTCGATCCTCGGCTCAAGACGGCGACCTTCAGGCTCAGGGCCCGAGGGGCGAGGACTAGCGCGCCCATTGTGGTGGAGGCGGGCGGCCATGCCAGGGGGGCCCGGGCACTCGACCTGAACGAGGAGAGGGTGAAGGCGCTCGTACGCAAGTGCCTTCCACCGTACCAGACAGCGGCCCGTGCAGCGGCAGAGGCACGCGTTGGGGGTGAGGTCACGAGCGCAGTGGGAGTGACGGGGGCGGGCGCGGCCGAGGGCGGGTCTGCAGGGCGTAGGGGGGCCAGGTCGCGAGCCGTGCTCGACTTTCAGGCTAGGCTGTTTGCTGACTTGGCAGAGATGGAGGCAGAGGAGGGGGTGGGGGCACAGGACGAGGTGGACCAGTATTTAGCTGAGGCGAGGCAGAAGGGAGGGTGCTCCTTAGCGTACTGGCGCGGGAGGGAGCAACAGCTGCCCGGGCTTAGGGCCATGGCACGCGTTTATCTGGGTATCCCCGCCACGTCTGCAGCGAGTGAGAGAGCCTTCAGTCAGAGCAGGAACATCATCTGGTGGCAGCGGCACCGTTTGAGCCCACAGCAGATGCGTGTGGCCATGATGATCAAGACTTGGCAGGATCACCACCGTGGACAGAGGCTTGAGATTCGTGGTGGCACTAGGACCACGCTGGCGCAGCTCTGTCTGGAGGCAAAGCAGCTGGGGTTGTGAGAGACAGTTGCACGGGGTTAGTTGATGCGTGCATTTGTCATTGTGTCTGTCCAGGTATTGCACTGTTGTATTTATTAACGACCTTCTTGTTTGTGAGGTAACATGCATTGGCAATAGCAGCATTGGGTTTTAATTAGCAGACAGTTTTATAGTGTGCTTGACTTTCATGTAATTGTTGTAGCGGACCCAATGAACAAACCCCCCCAAACCATTGTTTGGTGACGCTTCGTACGTCTGTCAACCAGAAGTTCATTGTACATGTCAAGAAAAGTGTTATACAGACGATGCTAACATCACGGGTGGTGGTGGTAGTCGTAAAATGTAGTACACAAATATATTAAAAACAAGTACAACAGAGAAATGACACATTGTGAAGAACACCCCCAGCCCCCCCTAAAGAGGCGGATCTAGCTGGCTCGACCCAACCCGACCCAAACCCGGGTCCCCTTTGACCCGTGTGAGTAGGCCCGGGTCGGGCCGGCTGTTTCAAGAATCTGGCCCGAGGCCGGCCCGACCCGACCCGACCCGACTCGAAAGCCCGTGTGGCCCGGCCAAGTCGGGTCGGGTCGGGCCGGGTCGGGCCGGATACTCAACTCTACTCACAGGTACTGGAGGTTCTGCAGATTGCTAAGAGACTCTGGAATGGAGCCCGATAAAAAGTTGTCGTTGAGAATGCTGCAACAGGGCAAAGAGAGGGCTGAGAGTGAGGAGGGCTAAGAGTTCATAAGATTTTCCCCGACATTCTTTCCGACACGTTTTGCAGCGTGTATACTCACGGGCCTGCCTACATGCCCACCCACAGGCATGCTCTTGTCTCGTTGATCGTATGGTGTACCAAAGAGATGGTGGCGCAAGAGGGGGGGGGGGGGGGGGGGGGGGGGGGGGGGGGGGGTGAGAGGGGGGGGGCTCACTCACAGGTTGACGAGCGCAGAGAGGTTCCCCAAACTGGAAGGGAGGGTGCCATTTAAAAAGTTGTCAGAAAGGCATCTGTCAGGTTACAGGCATCAGAGACATCAATGCAAAGGGGAGCAGGCAACTGAGAGTCACAGGAATAAGCGCATAGAGGCTCAATGGACGCCAAGAGGTGGCTGAGCAATGGAACGGGGAAAAGGGTTTCGAACAAGCAAAGCTGACAAACGTGGAAAACACGTGGAAAGGGGGCAGATCGAGGTGGTGAAACTGACAGAGTTTCCAAGCTTTTGGCGTTTCCCACAGCGTACGGAATACTGCCTGAGAGGCTATTCTCTGTGAGAAAACTGCACACAAGCACCGCACATGGATGGGCAGTTAGCATGCATGCGTACGTGTGTGCTTGGGTCAAACCTCTGTGGCCCGTGCCTGTGCTGCAGGGAGAGGGTGGATGTAACGAGATGGTGGTGCACGCAGAAGCGACATGTCCGGGTAACTCGGCCATAATTGGGTAAACGGGGAGAAGAGCATGGGTAACTCGGCCTTCATATTCCTTGGGCAACTTCACCAGCCCACATCACATGGAGCACCGCAGGACGTTGTGGTGAATGCATTGCAGTGAGAAGAGCACATGGAGCCTTACAGTTGGATGAGATTGGGCAGAGAGAAGAGAGCAGCGGGAAGGGAGCCTTTCAGTTGACTGGACTCGATGCTCCTGGGTGAGGAAGGCAGAGGCGGAAACATAGAGAGGAGAAACGGACTTGAGCAGAGCGAGGAAGGCAAGTGGTGCAAAGTAGCATGGGGAGCGAAACTTCGTGGTCATGTACTCAGCTAAGTGGAGCGAATCGAAACGAGGTGTCTGCTCCTTGCAAGGAGCTCCCTTGAACCATCAACTCCGCCAAAGTGGCGGTTATACAGCCACAACTCCTTCACCACTCACAGAACCGACAGGTGCTTCAAGCCGGTGATGCCCTCTGGAATAGAGGCCGCTATCGTGCTGCCGTATGTGTCACTGCGGAGAAGAGGAAGCACGAGGCAGGTGGGAATGGTAGTGCCCGCGTGAGGAGACCAACTCTTAGCGCACGAGGTTGGCGAGATGCAGCCAAATGAAGAGGCGTAGTGTCTCGCTTGGGGCAATTGCTCAACTAGATGCTGTGCCGGGAAATGTCCCTTTCACAAGCTATGCTATAATGCGTACATCCTGGTGACGTGGCCGTAGACGTCGCATGAGACTGCAACCATGGTGTCGCAATCACCGCCTCTAGTCCACGTGTCTCTGCCTTCTACACCGCTCCATGCAGATGCCAGCATCTCCAACACGCCCACTGCCACCACCATGCCATGCCGACCATCCCATGCCATGCCATGGCCATGCCATGCGATGCCAGGTACCACCGCCATACCACCAAACGGCGATATGCTTCCTCAGGACCACAGGGCTCCCACGTTCAAGACACGCCCAAACACAACCGCCAGTCCATTCACACCATGCCACACCATCACAAACAAAAGGATGCTGGGTGGGTCGCAATTTCACCTCCTTACAAAACAAAATAAATTTGAATGGGTGGGTGTATATGCGGTGCATAGCAAAGCACGCTGGTCCACGCTCTCTCATGATCGCCCCGTGGCTTACTGTCGGGGTCCAGCACGGGTGCAGCTGCGGCGAGAGGAACGCAGCGCGTCAGCATCAGTGCGATTACTACTACTAATGCTACTACCGCCGTTCTCGCTATGCCGCCACCGCACCACCCTGCCGTCGGCCCCGTCATCCTACAGTATCCCGTCGCCCGTGATAGTAATGTCGCCTGTGGCTAAGTGCCGCTATTTCTGGCGTCGGGAATTTATTATGCATTGGCGACCCCTCGGGCGACGCTCTTTATCATAATAAGGTTACTACCATCATCTACATGTAGAGACCTGGCTTGTAACACTAAAAACCACAACAAGAACGGCTGAAAAGGAACCATTCTACAGACAACAGTTGTGATTCTACTGGTGGCTCTCTGAATATCCGTTGTGGCAGGCCATCACCATAATTGGTTGGTGGGATGAAGGACTTCACCGGATTTTATTAGCGATTTTAAAGGGAACTTGGGAAACCCACTCGGCTAGCACTGTATAATCCTTCTGTACCGCACTGCACTCAGGTGCACAAGGAAGATACCTGTGTGGGTGTGGAAGGTACTGTATCAGTCTGACAAGGCGAGGTTACCCATGCGAGGCCAGCACAGCGTTGAGCATTGTGCAAACGACACCAGAAGTGCTCAAATCCCGTTGCTGGATTGGCTGTGCGACACGCAATTTGGGCCTGGCTGGCACATCGAACTCAGTGGAAACAGGGCCCGTCTACCTAGATTGTTTGAGGCAGTGGCGGGTGTGCTGACCCGAGAGACCTTCCTGGGCTAGCTGTCTGCGGAGAACCAAACCGAACCTAGGGCAAGACTTGTGTTGCGAAGTGCGAACGCACCTGCCTGGTAACTATACACAAGAAAGCTCGTGATGATGCGATACGTGCAAATTCAATTGACCCCTGTCGCGTCATTTCGTCCAAGTGAATTCTCTCACCAGTACCCCGTTGGCTGTGTGATCCAAAAAGCAACTTCAATGTTTGCTAACGTATGTATGTTTTGCTATAATTTTTTTTTAATAGAAGGCTTTTCACTATATCAGGGATACAGCAAAAGGGCCACAGTCGTAACTGTTGCAAGGAGGGGGGCAATAACACACAGTGAGGGAGCCGCCCCTCAAGAGCATCTACGGCGGCTTGAATCTGGCCCTCCGGTCCGTCCAGATGGAAAGGAACTCATCGCGCCACGTAAGCCTGCTGGCCATCTTCGTGCTGACGTTTTCCAGCGCTGCAACCTCATCTTTGTCCAGAAGCTGCTTAGCCACGCGTCTCTTTTTTATCCACGCCTTCCTTCTCTTGATGCCCTCATACGTCCGTGCATGAAGACAGAAAGCTGTCACGATCCTCCTCATCACTTTCCGGCACTGGAACTTTCGCCCCTTGAAGACCGCGTTGCATCGTTCCACCCAAATCTGGTGGAATGTGATTGCCGACACCGTCAGCTCCGGGAAACCGGAAGCTGTCCCCCCTCGTTGGAATAACAGATCGCCAAGTGTCCTTGCCCTCCGAGCTGGATTGAACCAGTGAATCGCATCTGTCAGGGCCCCCACCACAGGTTGGATGACGCGGCAGGAGAACAGTGCGTGATCCACTGACTCCGCCTCCCCGCAGTGCGGACATCTTGCCCGCTCCCCCAAAAACTTCAGTCGGTCCCCCACTTGAAGATTGAAGCAGTGGGCACGCAGCAGGACGTCCCGCCCCCTTGCAGGAACTACATGTGAGTCCCTGCGCGCAATCACCCGCTTCCAGTCGACCTTCCTCCCCCACAATCGCTCCCACTCTGCTCGGCGAGGGAGCTTGTCTGGCTGTTTGTGTCTCACCCCCAAACCCTCTCTCAGTTGCTTTAGCGGGGCTGCAAGCCTATCCACGCAGAGTTCTGAACTTAGAAGCCTTACACGCGGCTCGCCCAGCTCCCCAACTACCTCGTCCCCTACTGCTGCCATCGGCGTGACCTCCGACACGGATAGCACTTTAACTCTCGCCCCTTCCAGCACAAGCCAAGTCTTCCCATCTTCGCGCTGGCGCATCCTCATGTAGTGGAGCAGACTGCCAGAGGTTTTATGAATCCACCACAACTGCACTCCTCTCCCCGTCGTCCTCACGACCTTCGTAGCAATCGCAATTTCCTCCGCTGTGAGCGGCTTCAGGACCCGCTCCTTCCAGTCCTCACTCAGCGCCTCCATTATGTCCGCGGCCACCTCTGCCGCTTGCTTGCTGCCCAGGTCCCGCGTCAGACGCTCCGGTGATTTCCAGCTCCTTGTGCCATCCGCCCATTTTAATAGCAGGTCCCCCACCGTAATTTCGTGTAGTCCTTCGTTGCCCTTCCGTCTCCCGAAAGGGTAGCTCCCGTCTCGCAGGATGCGCCTATTAAACAGCACTCGCTCTTTCTCGACATCCCATCTGTTTCCGGCTTCCAGGTTCCTGATGACCGGCGACGACATTGCTGCGGCTGTAACCGCTTTCCACCTCTCACTCCCCGTACCCCATGCCTTAAGCAGTGCCTCATGCGCAAGGAAGGAGGCGTAACCCAGCGGGAAGTTCGCCGCTTGCTCCGCCAGCAGCCTCCGCTGCGGCATCTCCTCCGTGAGCAGCACCGCCAGCGAATGGAGTGCCTCCGCGTCAAGCCGGTCTTTGAGATTGATTACTCCCAGGCCCCCCTCCTCCCTTCTGAGCTGCATGAGGTCTCCATTCCAGAGAATGAAGCCCGGTTCCGAGCTCGCCCTTCCTCCAGAAACGAAGGCGTGGCACAGCCTCTTCAGCTCCTCCCAGATCGTGTCCGGCGGCGGGTAGATCTGCGCCTGGAACAGCGCGATGGGCATGACGTACGCATTAACTACCGTCACCCTCGCCGTGGTGGTGAGAAACTTCGCTTCCCATTTTTTCAGCTCCGCTTCCATTCTGTTTAGCGCCTTCTTCCATAACGGCTTTGCTTCTCCTCCCGGCGTGATCCAGACCCCCAGCAGGCGCTCTGGCTCATCTCTCAACGCCCACTTGAAGGCCCCGGTCGCAGGCGGCGGTTCGTCCCGCTGCCTCCCCAGCGGCAGCACCACCGACTTGTCCCAGTTGACCGCCAGTCCTGACCTCAGCTTGAAGTCTTTGAGCAGAATCTCGGCTTCTCCAAGCTGCGAGCGGTCCCTCAGCAGCAGGGTGGTGTCGTCGGCATACCCCAGGTAGGTTAGCTTCCCAGCGCCTTTGATATTAATGCCTAAACACCTCCTCCTTGCTTCTTGGAAGAAGGGCTCCACCGCGCAGAGGAACAAGTATGGCGCGAGCGGACAGCCCTGCCTCACACCAGTCTGAACCGGGACCTCCTCTCCCAGCCACCCGTCGTTACAAATGCGTGTCGCTGCACCTTTGTGTAGACCCTCCACCCACGTCACGTAAGCCTCCGGGAAGCCCATTTTCCGCAGCACGTCGAACATATATCCACGCGCCACGAAGTCGAAGGCCTTGCGGAAGTCTACCAAGAGCATGAGCCAGTCCTCCTGCCTGGCATTAGCGGCGTCAATCACATCTGCCGCAGCCGATACTGCTCCAGCGATGCTCCTACCAGGCAAGAAACCAAACTGCCCAGCCGACACCATTCGCTCCAGCTTGCCTTTCACCCGATTCGCCAACACCTTCGCGATAAGCTTGTACACTGTGCTCTGAAGAGTGATTGGGCGGTAGTTTTGGAGGTCGTCTTTTGCGCCCTTCTTGTGAAAAAGTATCGTCACTGCCGTTGAAAATTCGCTCGAGAGCGACCCTGTCCGCTCAAACTCTTTCAGGAACTGCATCATCTGCCCCCCCAGCAGGTCCCACTGTGATTCCCAGAGCTCCTTTGGAAGACCGTCTCTCCCTGGAGTTTTGCCCGGCGCCATCTCCGCCAGCGCACGCTTGACCTCCGCTTCCTGCCACGGCGCACTCCTCTGCATCCTCCTGTGAGAAGCTCCTGTCCACCGACCAGTCCAGATGCGCATCCGCGCCAGCCGCAAACAGTCTCTTGTAAAACTCCAACGCTGCCTTAAGTGACTCCTTAGCCCCCTCGTGCCGGGCACCCTGGTAATTCACCTCCACCAGCCGCGTCCTCGCTTTCTGCGCTTTAATCTTGGCCGAGAAAAAGCCCGTGGGGGCCTCACCATTCATCTCTACTTTAATTCCCGCCTGCTCCTGCAGCTTACGGCGCCTCCCGTCCAGGTACACTTTGAGTTTGGCTTCGCACTTCGCCAACCGCGCCTTCGCCCGCAAGCACCGAGGCTTGCTCATCACACGCTGCCTCAGCTCCCCAACTTCCCGCTCGAGGTGCGCCACACGCTTCCGCTCCTCTACGGTATAGGCCTTAAGACCTACTGCTAGTGAGGCTGTTAATGACTCCAGACCTCCTCCTCTCTCTGCATTCCTCCTTACTATCTGCTCCATCCGTCTCTGTATGCCAGGGCGTAGAACCTGCGACGCCGGAAGCCTCCAGAGCCCTGGACCGGATTCCCCGTCCCCCCCGGCGCTGAGCTGCAGGTGCACCGCGGACCAATGGTCCGTGAACCGCTTGACCAAGCCCACATGCCGCACCTCATGGACTTGGTGAAGCAACGCCTGCGAAAGAAGAATCCTGTCAATCCTGGTGCTCTCCTGTACCGCCGCTGCGTAGAAGGTGTATTCCCGCAGGCAGGGATGGAGCGCCCTAAAAGCATCACGGACGTCAAAACTGCTGCATATGGTCATTAACCTGTCGTTCTCTCCCCTCGAGCCCAGGCCTGACGTCTTGTCCAGCGCTGGGTCCTCAATGATGTTCAGATCCCCCGCCAACAGGAGTTGGTTCCCAGCAGGTATCGCGGTGAGAAACGGCTGGAGCACGTCGCGGAAGAAAGGGGCTCGCGCCGTTGGACTCGCCGGAAAGTAAGCTGCTATAACTGTTACCATTACCCCACGCCATGACATGGTCACTCGGGCTAGGCGGCCTGAGGCATCTCTGACCGCGTCCGTGCAGGACACCTCATTGTTGCGTAAGACAATCGCAACTCCCCCGGCCCTTGCCGTAGGCGTCGTTGCTATACTGTATCAGCTTGAAGATGGTTCCAGAATCTGTGATTCTCAGCAATCCTCGTGTCTGCTAGAATGGCTACGTGTGTTGCGTCTCTTATCCAGTCCTGAGCGTCTTGCTGCTTCTGCGGACAGCCAAGACCGTTGACGTTCAGGACGCTGAAGGTGAGGGTGGGGTGTTTACCCATTGGGAACTTGTGTTAGGCCCCTTAGCATCCACGGGCCGGATGTGAGTGTGCTGCTGCGGTTGTTAAGTTATGCTTTTATACTCCAGACAGGTACAGACACATCGTTAGCGCATACAGTCCTACACCACGCTGCAGAATCTCTTCTCTTAACTCCATGCTCCTGATTCACTTCCCCTTCGCCTTCTCCGCTCGAATCCCATACAGCTTCTTCGCCGCCTGCAAGGCCTGCTTCGCCTTGGTCGCACGGGTCGCAACACCCGCCGTACCCAGCGCCGCGCCATGGCTGAAGGAGCTGATGTGAGCCGCAGCCTGAGCGAAGGTATCCCCGTGCGCACGTTCGCAGCACTCCTGGACACACAGCCATTCCTCCACGTTGGCACCAGTCGAGATAAGGACCAGCGCCGGGTCCCGGAGAAGCTTCCTCACCACCCCTGCCGACAGAAGGGAGGCCGCTGCAGAAGACACCCATCACACCACCATCAGTCAGTAAGGAATGAAGAACCATGCACTGGTAAGAGCTCCACAGTACGACCCCCCCCCTATTACCGTTAATCGAATGGACCCTGCCTAAGGACAAGTTCCAGTTGCTGATGTTGTTGCGACGCTCATGCACATACTCGTCATGCAACTTATCCATATGCGGTCCCTGACAGAAGCAGCAGGACAGCGATGGATAATGCACGAGGTATGACGCATCACTGAGCGGGTCCTCCACCACATGGCGCCAGCGGTACTTGTCCCCTGGATGCGGGACCACCAAGCCACGGATCTTATCCGTGTCCAAGCCCGAAACATGGTCAACCACACGGTGGAAACCCGCGCCTTGCTGGAACGCCGGACGACCGCGCTTCTGCAGCTTCGCCACCGCCAGCGATTCGTAAACAATGAGCGGCGTAATCTCCGCCAGAACTCCTTTGAGCAAAACTTCCACCCCTTCCGGCAGGTCAGTCTTCGCTTTCACAAAGGCGCGGTTGACTGGGTGCAGCCAGCCGAAATGGTGCTTCGTGGTCCCCACAACATGCTCCACCCGATGCTGACGCACCACCTCCGCATCTGCAGCTGTCGCGAGCGTGACCTGCAGACGGCTGAAGTGAACCTTGGACAGGTAAGTCGGAAGCAACTCTTGAAACGCGATCTCGTCCAGAGCATTGTCCGACAGCTTCTTTCGCAGGAAAACCAGAAGAGCCTTCACCGAAGGCTTCACCGCAGGCATCTCCTTCGCCAGGGCGAACGGGATCAGGAGCGTCAGCGTGATGCGCGCCTTAGCCGCCAGCACACCCTTAGCGTGCACATCAATGCCTTCATCCGAATCATCGCTCAGGTAACCGTCGTCGTCATCTTCGTCATCCTCATCCCCCCCTGCAGAAGCGTACGCGGACGGAACTGCAGGCGAAGGCGCAACCGGTTCTGGGACGGCCGATGCAGGAGCCGGCGGAACCACCGGAGCGACCTGGCCTTCAGCGGTTGGTGGAGAAGTGGAGGTCCCGACACCCGCCTCCACGCCAGCAGACTGCTCCAGCGATGGGACATTCTGACCTTCCGGCGTCGTCATAGTAGCAGCAGCTTTCGTCGCCCTGGTCAAGATCGTCATGCTTGGACTTAAAGAGAGGAGAGCAAGGTGATCGCTGACTGCTGAACCATGGCAGGCAGGCATTATATAGATTTCCAGCTTCTTCCTTGTCTTCCATTCCCATGGTATTGCCTGGACCTGATGGCACCAAGGGACTCCTTGATCTTGAACACGAGCTCGACATCTGTCGAGGTAGGATTGTTGCTGGCTAGGATTAGGCAGCCACTTCAGCACAGACCCGCTCGGTAGTTGGCAGCGCACACAATGGAGACCCCAAGACTGAAGGAAAACCGTAGGAAACAGTTGTAATCCGTGTGGAGAACTCCTAAGCGACTGCCTGGCAGAACCTAGATATGACCATGACCATTTGCCTGGAACTCGATAAGCATGAAGAATACCCGCCTGATGGGTACAATTTCTATGTCTGCTTATAGAAGAACACAAGCTGCATCGGATGGAGTAGTCTATGGTAAAAATAGGAACTGTTTGCCTAGACATTGCTCGCCTCGAAGCGCGCGACAGGATCCATGGCGACCTTATCATCATGTCAGCTAGTTGTCCTAAGGTCCGACTGGGGAAACTGTATGTTTTGCTATAATAAATAATGTTGACATTTTAGTTTCCCATGTCCAATCTGCCCTCGAATTTTAGTTTCCCATGTCCAATCCAAGTGCACAATCTGCCCTCAAGGCAAAATCCCAGGTCCCGTATTTCTTCCTTCCAACCAAGAATATACGCTCGAAATTGGGTAACCACTCAAAATAGTCGCGACTTTGTTGGGTTCGGTTGGGAGCAACTGTGATTGGTTGCAGCCCCGTCAGGTTGGGCAAGGCAGACGCATGACTACCCAGCCATATTTGCGAGAAACACACAACCTTGTGCGACGAAGGTAGAGAACACAGAGAACCAAGCATATTACCACTGCTGAAAAATATGAGACTCTAGGAGAGGATAATGACTTACATACAACCACTACTTAGTCCAGGCCTTTTTTTTTTGGTTTCCATATTAACAGTATACAATTGTTTCCACTTTCCGCTTGAATGATAAGAGTAGTGATTTCCTAAAAAAAAAAATGGAAAAAAAAAATATTGTTCACATAAGTTCGCCTTGCCCTTCCAGCTCGCCAACGCCTCCTTCACCATCATCGTTGCGATGTCCCAGCGGTGCTCGGGGTCCGCGTGCATGTCAGGGTCGAGCTCTGGCAGGTCGATGTCATCCTCGGCGTAGTCGTAGAGCAGATCATCATCTGCGTCGTCGTATCGAAGGGTGAAGGCAGCCGGCTGGAGGCCGACGTGGTAGGGCAGCCGCTCAGGCGCCCCCTGGATTCGGCCTGAGCACCGTGGTCCAGGCTGGTCGACCTTGTCCTCCACCACGTCGCTGTCGGTGGGCTCCTTGTCCTGACTGCTCCCCTTCCTTGTCGCCGGCTTCAATGCATTCATCAGCTTGCTGCACCCAAGTCGGCGTCCCTGCCGTCTTCTCCCCTTTTATCGGCTCCTCTGCCAACTGCTCGGTCGCCGATGGCTCCTTGGTCGGCGTCCCTGCTGGCTGCTCCCATGTCGGCAGCTTCTCTGCCGCACCCTTCATTACCGACTTCAACAAATTTGGCTGCTTCCCATGCACCCAGTGCTCCCCTGTCGTCGGCGGTGCCACTTTCACGTCGACTGGCTTGACATCACATCGGCCACCGGCAATAATCTTGGCCGGCAGCACAGGCGACGCCCCATTACTTCCCCCATCGCCGGAGGCTGACGCCGGTGTTACTACAGGAAGCTTGGCTACGAGGGGTGGGAAATGGAGAGCAGAGGAGGGGAGGGGGGGGGGGGGGGGGGGGGAAGGGGGGTAGGAGAACATCCTCGGCATCCTCATCAGGAGGCTCACCGACCTCGATGAGCAGAGGAAGGGTTACAGTCGAGGTGACCGTCGGGGGGTTGGCCTGCGTCCGCTCCGGCACCGGCCCGTGCTCTGACGTCCTCTAGTGACATCGTTTCATAGAGCATCACGTCCGACGTGGTGACAACCCTGTTGTTGGTGAGGTCGAGGAGCTCCCAGCCCTTGCTCTCCTCCAACACACCGAGGTGAAGGCCCCACCCTGCCTTCGGCTTTAGCTTGCCACCGCGCTGCTGGTCGGGGACCAGGAACTGCACCATGCAGCCCCGACATGGGTCAGCGTCAAGTTTGGTTTCTTGCCGCTCAGCAGCTGAAACGACGTCGTCCCCAGCGGCAGCGTCAACCTCTCAAGACAGTTGTGCACCTAGATGGCCTGCTGCAGGGTGAGGTGCCACCATTGGTGCTGCACGCCCATGTGCAACAGCATCGTCCGCACTGACTCCACAGCCTTTCGCATCTCCCGCTCTGCCATGCTGTTCTACTGCGGTGCGTAAGGGCGGGTCAAGTTGTGAATGATTCCCTTGCCGCCCACAAAGTTGGTGAACTCCTTCCCGAGGAACTCCCCTCCCCAATTAGCACGTAGCATTAGCACCGACTTCTTCGTCTGCCGCTCAGTCACCACAAGCCACTTCTTGAACTCCCGCAGCAGATTGGATTTCTTGGCAACCGGCCTCACCCATACGTAGTGGGTCTTGCGGTCCTTCAGAAGAAAGAAGTACAAGCTCCCGTCCTTAACATCCACCCGAAACAGCCTGCACAGGTCGATGTGCAAGACAGCCAGGGCGTCGTCAGCGTCCGCGCCCTTGTCGGGGAAGGTGTGCCGCGCGAGCTTCCCATTGACGCACAAGACACACGGTGCATTGGTGCCGGCCGACCGCATGATGTCTAGGCCGGTGGCGACCTCGTGCTTCACCAAGCTCGTGATGGTGAGTAAGCCTCGCGTGCCACCTGGCCGGCATCGATGTCGCCGCTGAGACGTGTCAAACTCATATGCTATAGTCTATCTAGGCTGTAGTGGGGTAGACACCATAGGGTACAACACTTCTAGGTTTCCTACTTGTACCCACATGTTTCATTGTCAATCCATTCCTGTTTCTTCACATGGTATAGAGCGGGTTCCCTAGTGGGACCGTTTCTTCCTAAGAGCCCACCACCATTAATTTTTTTTTTCCTAAACTGCCCGAAGCGCGCTTCGCGCTGTGCCCTGCCCTACCCCTTCGCGGCCCCTTAGCGGCCTCTTCGCGGCCACTTAGCGGCCTCTTCGCGGCCACCTAGCGGCCCCTTCGCGGCCCCTTAGCGGCCCCTTAGCGGCCCCTTCGCGGCCCCTTAGCGGCCCCTTCGCGGCCCCTTCGCGGCCCCCCCTTAGCGGCCCCTTCGCGGCCCCTACGCGGCCCCTTCGTGGTCCCTTCGCGGCCCCTTCGCAGCCCTTTCGCGGCCCCTTCGCGGCCCCTTAGTGGCCCCTTCGAGGCCCCTTAGCGGCCCCTTCGCGGCCACTTAGCGGCCCCTTCGCGGCCCCTTCACGGCCCCTTCGCGGCCCCTTCGCGGCCCCTTAGTGGCCCCTTCGAGGCCCCTTAGCGGCCCCTTTCGCGGCCCCTTCGCGGCCCCGCCCCGTTGCCCGTAGCGGCCCCGCCCCGTCGCCAGTCGCGGCCCCGCCCCGTCGCCACCCGGGTGTCGCCCCTGCCTCGTCGCGCACCCCTGCGGGACCCGCGCGTCGCCCCCGCCTCGTCGCGACGCCCCTGCGGGACCCGCGAGGTGCGGCTCCTGCGCGTCGCGACGCCTCGACGGGACCTGGGCGTCGCCCGCGCTTGTCGCGACGCCCCTGCGGGACCCGCGCGGTGTCGCCCCTGCCCGCCGCGGCGCCCTGCCCTACCCCGCGCCCGACCTTCGGACGTCCGCCCCTCCCCCGCACTGCAGCAGCTAACGTCGCGGCCCTGCCACGCCCTGCAGCAACTGTCGTCGCGGCCCTGCCCCGCCCTGCAGCAGCGGCCGTCGCGGCCTGGCCCCGCCCTGCAGCAGCTGCCGCGGAGCTCCCTCCCGTGGTCGCGGCCCCGCCCTTCAGCAGCTGCCGCGGAGCCCTCGCCCTGCAGTGGTAGCGGCCCCGCCGTTGCCGCCGTCGTACGCCTGCCCTTCTCGCCACTGGTGAGCACTGCCCTGCCCGCGCTGCTATTGCTACTACTGCTGTTACTGCTGCTCCTGCTGCTACTGCTCTTTCTCCTACTACTGCTGCTCCTGGCGTGGCCAGATGCAGATCCAGCGCCTTCCGCGTGAGTCCCTCACGCCCCAGCAGCTTCGTGCGTGGTACGCTAGTTGGGGTTGTAGGGGTGGCCGCGCTACTACTACTGCCACTGCTGCTACTGCTACTGCTGCGGCTACTACTGCTACTGCTGCTACTGCGGCTACTACTGCTACTCCTGCTCCTGGCGGTGGCCGGATGCAGCTGCAGCGTCGTCCGCGCGAGTCCCTCACGCCCCAGCAGCTTCGTGAGTGGTACGCTAGTTGGGGTTGTAGGGGTGGCCGCGCTACTACTACTGCTACTGCTGCTACTGCTGCTACTGCTACTGCTGCGACTACTACTGCTACTGCTGCTACTGCTGCTACTGCGGCTACTACTGCTACTCGTGCTCCTGGCGGTGGCCGGATGCAGCTGCAGCGTCGTCCGCGCGAGTCCCTCACGCCCCAGCAGCTTTGTGAGTGGTACGCTAGTTGGGGTTGACGGGGTGGCCGTAGTGGGAGTAGCCCTGGAGTGGGTAGTACGGGAGCTTCTGGTAGTGGCCGGGTGCAGCTGCAGCGCCGTCCCCGCGAGGCTCTTTCGCCCCAGCAGCTTCGTGAGTGGTACGCTCAGAGTAGAGGGTCACTGAGTCTTGCTCGCTGCCCGTACGTCATTCGCACGGGTGTCCGGACTGGTCAGCCTTGCGGGACACCTGGTCACACAGAGTCCCGCTGCTTCGCCCGTCTGAGTGACGCTTGGCGTACAGAGTTTAGCGACGAGGCTGAGCTCCCCTCCTGGCTGGAGCTGCTTAGGCAGAGGGTAGATATCTTTGCTCTTGACTATGATGCTATCCTCACTGCCATGTATGCATTGTCTACTAGTGCTGAGGGTGTCTGTCATCTGTGTGTGCCGCCTGACCCCG